GGCGAGGGCCATGGAGGAGCATCTTGGATCACCCCGCAAAAAAAGCGCAAGACATCCAAACACATGCGCAGGGAGGAGGGAGGAGGGAGGAGGGAGGAGGGAGGAGGGAGGAGGGGAGTGGGGAGGAGGGGAGGAGGGAGGAGGGAGGGGGGAGGCGGAGGAGGCCACACCCGTCCGCGCCCTCCCCGCCGGACACCGCCAGGCAGAGGAGCGGCACAGGAAGGAGGAGGCGGCCAAGTCCGACTCCGAGGACGACCCCTCGAGCGAGGAGGACGAGGCGGGCTCTGCGCCGCCCCGCCCCCAAGGGAGGCCAGCGGGCGACCTTTTTGTTGAGCGGCCTCCTCCTCCTCTTCCTCCTCCTCCTCCTCTTCCTCCTCCCTTCCTCCTCCTCCTTTCCTTTTCCCCCTCCTCCTCCTCTCCTCTTCGCCTCCTCCTCCTCCTCTCCTCTTCCTTTCCTCCCTCCTCCTCCTCCTCCTCCTCCTCCTCCTCCTCCACTTCCTCCACTTCCTCCTCCACTTCCTCCTCCTCCTCCTCCTCCCCCTCCTCCCTTGCACCTTCTTTTCCTCCCCTCCCCCGCCTCGGCCTCCGCTGCCCACCCCCATCTGCCGGATCGGACACCCCCGGAGCGAGCAGCTGCTGTGCTGGCAGACTTTGAGGGGGAGGGGCTTGAAGATGTAGCTCTCAAGGTCGGAAAGGCAGCTGCCGGTCAGAGGAGGAAAAGGTACCTATACCTCTACCCTTTGCCCGTTTTTCCTTTTTCGGGCCTCCTGGGAGGCCCTCGTCGCCACCGTTGGATTCGCCTCGGAATTCTGGTCGGAACGCACCCCAGGAGAGGTCCAGGGAGTAGCGGTATGGGTACCTTTTAGTTTCCCCGGTCAGGTTGGGAGGGTGGGGGACTGGGAGAAGTGATCGGATCGCCCGTGCTATCGCGTGCGTTGAACGGGCTCATTGCGCAGTCGTGCCGTGCGTCTTCCCAGCCCCCACTTCTCCCAACACGATCATTGTCTCTCTTTCTCTCTCTCTCTCTCTCTCACAAGTGTGCATCTGCTCAGCGCAGGGGCCGTCAGCACAGTTAGCAGGAGGTGTTGAGGGAGGAGGAGGAGGAGGAGGAGGAGGAGGAGGAGGAGGAGGAGGAGGAGGAGGAGGAGGATGTGGAGCCACAGCGTCAGAAGCAGCAGCTGCAGGAGGAGACGCAGCAGCAGGGCATGATGGGTGGCAGCGGCATCAGCATGCGGGGGCAGGAGAGCACGAGTAAAAGCTGCAGTGCAGCGGAAGCATCAGCACGAGCCCCCCCGTCGGCTCCCCAGACATCTGGAGCTCCAGTGTGTCTGTTTCGATGCGTGGACCCCCAGAGTTATGGACCTTAGTGGGCCCTGGAAACGACAAGGCCGTTTTTTACCGTTTCCGTTTTGCCGTTTTTGTTGCCAGTTCCGACGCCGTTTTTGTTACCGGTTCCGTCGTTTTTCTTGTACTGGTTCCGCTTCCGGTTCCAAGTTTGGAGCCGTTTTCTTGCCGCTTCCATTTTCAAGAGACAGTTTTTTTTGAATCGGTGGAAAAACGGCCCTGCCGTTTCCAGGGTCCACTAAGGTATGGACCACCTCTCACAGTGCCAGTTTCTGATCCGAAGAGGGCCCCCAGGTCCGAAGTTGCCCGAAGCCAGGCGCTCCAATTTCGTTCGGGGCATCGGATCTCTCTTGCGGGCAGGACTTGTGTCCATGTCCACTGCAGCTTGGAGTGTCCGGCTCCCTTCCTCAGAAACCCGATGCGCATTGGATAAGGATAAGAATTTGGCCCCTGTAGAGGCTCGATGTTTGTCCATATCCATTGCGCCTCGGCCACGCGGTGTCCCTTCCAAGAAAGTCCAAGACGCAATGGGTATGGATACAGATATTGCCCGCATCTGTGCTGTCACCGCCCCAGTACGAGAACCGCCGCGTCCACTGCTGGGTGCTGGTGCGCAAGGGCCAGCGGGAGGTGCCCGAGGACCCCCCCTCCTGTCCGATCTTGCTGATGATCATGGTGATGAGGTTGATGATGGTGACGACGATGATAAGGATGCTGATGCTGATGCTGCTGCTGATTAAGGTGATGATGCTGATGATGATGGTGTTGTTGGTGATGGTGATGGTGGCCATACTACGTCTGATGATGATGATGATGATGGTGATGATGATGGTGATGATGCTGTTAATGATGATGGTGATTGTGATGGTGATGGTGGTGGTGCTGCTGCTGATCGTGGTGTTAATGGCGATTATGATGGCGATAAGGCAGCTGACGACGACGTTGATGATGATGATGATGATGACGATGGTGATGATGATGATGATGATGACGATGATGATGATGAGTGATGATGATGATGGTGACGATGATGGTGGTGGTGATGTTGATGGTGATGATTATGATGACGGTGATGCTGATGCTGCTGATGATGATCCTGATGCTAGTGATGCTGTGTATGACGATGCCGGCGATGATGATAAAGCAGATGCTGATGCTAGATATGACGATGCTGATGATGACGACGATTGTCATGATGCTGATGCGGATGATGTTGACGATGGTGTTGATGATCACGATGTTGGTAACGATGTTGCTGATGATGGTGCTGCTGCTGCTGCTGTTACTGCTGCTGCTGCTGCTGATGATGATGATGGTGATGATGATGATGATGATGATGATGATGATGCTGATGATGATGATGATGATGATGATGATGATGATGATGATGATGATGAGGATGATGATGCTGATGCTGATGGTGATGGTGATGGTGATGGTGATGGGATCCCAGCTGGGCACCACTGGGAGCCCTCTTGCTACGGGGGCCCGCACGCTTGCGTAAACGGGGCCAGGCCAGCGAGGCGCCAGAGCCCCTGGAGCCAGGCCCCCGCGGGCCGCGGCAGCCCCCATGGGCGGCTCGCGCTCGGTGCCCCGCGGGCTCGCGGCCGAGGCCCGCCCTGTCCCCGCACCTCGACATCTCTTGCCCTCCTTGGCCCGCGCCCCCCCGCCCCTCCTATTCCCTCCTCCTCCTCCTCTCCTTCCTCCTCCTCCTCTCCTCCTCCTCCTCCCTCCTCCTCCTCCTCACCCTCCTCCTCCTCCTCCCCTCCTCCTCCTCATCCTCCTCCCCATCCTCCTCCTCCTCCTCCTCCCCTCCTCCTCCTCCTCTCTCCTCCTCCTCCTCCTCCTCCCTTCTCCTCCTCCGCCTCATCCTCATCCTCCTCCTCCCTCCTCCTTCCTCCTCCTCCTCTCCTCCTCCTCCTCCTCCTTCCCTCCTCCTCCTCCTCATCCTCCTCCTCCTCCCTCCCCTCCTCCTCCCTCCTCTCTCCTCCTCCTTCCTTCCTCCTTCCTCCTCCTCCTCCTCCTTCCTCTTCCTTCTCATCCTCCCTCCGTCCTCGTCCTCCTCCTCTCCTCCTCCTCCTCCTGATCCTCCTCCTCCTCCTCCTCATTCCTCCTCCTCCTCCTCCTCCTCCTCCTCCTCCTCCTCCTCCTCCTCCCTCCTCCTCCCATTCTCTCCTCCTCCTCTCCTCCTCCTCCTCATCCTCCTCCTCCTCCTTCTACCTCCTCCTCCTCCTCCTCCTCCTCCTCCTCCCTCCGCCTCCTCATCCTCCTCCTCCTCCTCCTCCTCCTCCTCCTCCTCCTCCTCCTCCTCCTCTCCGTAGCCATTTTGGCTCAAGATGCCTAGTTCCACAGGGGAACAAGTGGATACCGCTAGTCCGCGGCCAGTGCCAGGGCTCTTGAGCCCGACAGCCCCTTCTCGATCCCAAGTGCAGACTGCAGCACCATGGCTGGCGCCGGCCGAAAGGAACGCCAGGACTGGGCTTGCAGGAGCTGTACGACGAAGCGCGGCAAGCCGCTCATCAACTTCGGGACCTCGCTCAAGTGCCAAGGGTGCAGGCTCCACAAGAAGGACGTGTACGGCGGGCCTGTGCCGCCGAAGGAGCCCTCGATGCGGGCCCCAGCCAAGGGCAAGACGCGGGCCCCGTGGACGGCCGAGGGCAAGCTCGAGGGCGAGCTCGCGGCCATGCGGGCGGAGCTCGACGCTGCCAGGAAGAAGCTTCGTACGCAGGAGTCCGACCAGGGCGGGGCCGCGGCCATGCACGTGGACGACGGCAAGTCAGGCGAGGACGCCTCGGCTGCGAGCGAGATCAAGGTCTGCGAGGCAGGCCTGGCCACGCTCAAGGACGTGCAGCACGACTGGGCCACGGGCCCGCGGGAGGATCTCAAGCGCAGGCTCGCCGCCGCCAAGGACAGGCTCTTCGCCGCCAAGCCGCTCCACGCGCGGGTGCAGGCGCTGGCCCACAGGCAGAAGAATCTGGCGGACAACCTCAGCAAGATGGAGCTGGCCGAGCGCGAGGCGGAGGACCGTGTCAAGAAGGCGCAAGACGAGCTGGAGCTCAAGCGGCATGGTGTCAGAGAGCTCAAGGCGCAGCAGGTGGCCCTCCAGGCGGAGCAGTCGGCACTCCAGCAGCAGGTCCCAGTCGCGCCAGAGGATCGTCCGCCTGGGCAGTCCATGGAGCACGACGTCATCAAGAACACGGGCGGCCTCACCCTCGGCGACCTGGCGCAGGCTCTCAGCGGTGCGCTGGCCGCTCACCCCGACGGCACCATGCAGACCGCGGGCGATTTGCCGCAGCGGCTGGCCTCGGCGCTCGGCGGGCCCCTCCAGGAGCTCATGCTGCGGCGGCAGCGCGAGCGGGCCGCCGCCACGGAGGCAGCGAGCGCCCCTCGCACCCCTGCAGCGTCCGTCGAGGGAGACGACGCCGCCGCCGCCGCGCAAGGCGCAGGCACTGCAGGCGGCGCCGCCCCTGCAGCCGCAGCGCCGCGCTGGGATCCCGCCGCGATGGAGCCCGAGAAGCTGCGGCAGCCCATGGCGGAGTTCTCGCCAGGGCCAGCAGAGGAGACCAGCGACGCCATGCTGGCGCGCGCCACGGAGCTGGCCGTCAGGGGCTTCAATCCTTACTAAGCTCATCATCGCGATGTCCTGCACACTTGCGATGGCGAAAGGCGCTATCACTACCAGCAACGTGACTTCCTGGGGTTCATTGGCGCCGTGCCTAGAGACCCTCGAGTCGCACGTCGTTCTCGTCCAGGAGCATCACCGACGGGACGAGGCGAAGCTCGCCGACCTGCAGCACGAGGTGCTGGATCACGGGTTCGCGGGCATCTGGGCGCCAGCAGTGGCAGGCCCCACCTCCGCGGAGGGCACTACGGGCGGCGTCGCGGTCTTGGCCCGCAAGAACATCCCCGTCACGGCCCCGCCGCTGCTGCCCTCGGCGACACTGTGGCCAGGGCGACTGGTGGCCGCCCACGTGCACTGGGGAGTCCGTGGCGGCATTGTCCTCGTGTCGGCCTACCTGGTCGACAGCGTTGGCATGAACGACGTGAACCGAAGCATCTTCGGCGCGCTCACTCGCTACCTCACGAAGCTCACGGCCTCGGGCATCGACTGGATCGTCGGCGGCGACTTCAATGGGCCTCCCAGCTGCCTGCCCCTGGCGCAGTTGGAAAAGGCGGGGGGCCTCTGGCTAGCGCCGTCGGCCGACACCTGCCGCCCACAGGCGGGCAGCGGCTCGGTGCTGGACTACTTTCTGGTCGGTGCAAACCTGGCCAGCCGCATCTCGGCTCCGAGAGTGGATGAGTTGGGCATCACCTCACCGCACCTCCCTGTCAACATGGAGCTGCGTGCCGCCGACCTGGACATGCGCGTGAGAATCCCGATCGCCCCCAGGGCGATTCCAGCGGTGCCGCCCATCGGCTGCAGCCGAGGTGTCGAGGACTGGGCGCCCACTTTGGCCCAGGTGCGCGCCACAACCAGCGCCGAGGAGCTGCCAGCAGCCTGGGACGCCGTCGTCAGCACCTTGGAGCAGGAGCTGTTGGACCGCTACGACCAGGTTGGCGAAGCGCGCAGGCGGTTCGAAGGACGTGCGGGGCCCATTGCGACCAAGCTGGCGCCAGTCAAGTGGAAGCCGCAAGGGCAGCGTGTCCGATTGGGGCCTGATGTCATCGCGGCCAAGGTCGCGGGCCGATGGGCGCGTCACTTCATGGGGGTCAGCGCGGTCCTCGCGAAGGCCAGCAGGAGGCTGCAAACCGCCAGCCTGCAGTGCTCCCTTGTCCCTGAGCAGTACCACGAGCTGGCGGACTTCGTCGCGAGGGCTTTGGAGTATGGGCGCGTGGTTATGGACAGCAAGAAGACGCTGGCACGGCTCCCGCATTGGGTGAGGTCCTTCTTCGAGCAGGGCTTTCGCGTGATCGGCAACACCGACTTCCTGGAACAGGCGGGCCGCATCGTCCAGTTCGCCAAGGACGCCCACGCGGACGCGCTCAAGGTCAGGCAGCAGAGCTGGATCCAGTGGGCCAACGACAGCCTGCGGAACGGCGCTGGCAAGGCGCACCGCTTCACCAAGCTGCGGGCGATGCAGGAGGTGCTGGCGCAATGGCAGGGCACCCACACCGAGCTCACCACTGGACGGCTCGCCCAGACCTTCGTCCCGCAGCAGCAGGTCGCCAGCCAGCACCTGATCTGCGACCGGGAGATGAAGGCCTGGGAGGACGTCTGGTCGTGCCACAAGCTCGAGGCGCTGGAAAGGCCAGCTGACTTCGACGAATGGGACGACCTCGAGGACCTCACCGTGGAGGCGCTGCAGCGGGCCGCCTGCAGCTTCCCCACCACCACGGCGCTCGGCCCAGCGCAGATCGGTATGCGTGCGCTCACCTTTCTCACGGACGACGGCGTTTACACCTGCGGCCAGCTCTTCATGAAGTGCGAGGCGCTGGGGGCTTGGCCCAGCGACAGTCTGTGGCACGCTATGTGCCGCATCCCCAAGGCCTCTGGCGGCTGCAGGCTGATCACGCTGATGCACTCGCTAATCCGATGGTGGTCGAGGGCTCGTGCCTCGACGTCCAAGGCGTGGCTGACGGCGCACCCCAATGCCAGTATTTGGGGCATGGGCGGTGGCAGATCTTCCTCCGACTCCGCCTTCGACCTCAACCTTGAGACGGAGGTATCGGACTGCCTGGACGAGCACGTCGTAATCGTCATGCTGGACGCCTGGAAGTTCTTTGAGACGATTAAGCCCGAGTGGCTACTCATCGAGGCGCGGCTGCTGGGCATGCCGCTGCGGTTGGTCTGGATGTTGAGTGAGCTATACAGGCAGCCGAGGCGGCTGCAAGCTTTCGGCTCGGTGTCCTACGCGGTCGTGTCACATCAGGGCGTGCTCGCAGGATGCACTCACGCCTGTGCCATGGTCACCTTGCTCATGTTCAGGCTGCTCGAGCAGGCGCGAGATGCAGGCGTCACCCCGAGGGCCCTCATCGACGACGTCACCTTGCAGTGGCGCGGGAGGCGGCTCTCGCAACTGGGCGTGCTTTGGGCGGCCACCACCAGGTTCCGCGAGGGCGCCCAGGAGCGAGGCATTGTCGTGCAGCCCACCAAGTCGGGCTACTTGGTCTCATCGGACGCGGCTGCTCGCGAGTGTGCCCGACACGCGGCGGCCCGCAAGCTGACCAAGATGCGCTGGGCCCGCAACCTGGGGCACGATCTGGGCGGGCGCAGAATCGCTAGGCTCCAGACGGCAAAGCGGGTGCGGCAGCTCAAGGAGCGGCGCGGCAAGTTGGCAGCTTTCAGAGGGGCAGTGGGCAGGCGCGCTACCTGCCTGTGGAAGACGGGCCTCATGCCGAGTGCGGCGCACGGTGCTGGGGTGTCAGGGCTCACCGACGATACGCTGCAGGTGCCGAGGGCCGAGGCTGGCAGGCTTGCAGGGGCTCGGCCAGGTGCATCGAGCGTCACGGTGTATTTGGCCACGCAGAAGGCGCGCGAGTACGACCCCATCTACGGCGCCACCTGCGACATCGTTTGCCGATACGCCAGCTGGATCTGGGAACAGCGCACCTCCCTGGCTAGGCTCCACAGGGCCTGGGCCAAGGTCACGGAGCGGCTCGTGGGGCGCCCGTCCTGGGCAGGGGCTCGCGGTCCCATCGCCTCCGTCACGCTGACGCTCTGGCGCATCGGATGGCACATGTACTCCAGCACGACCCTGGTCACCGACCAGGATACGGCGATCTACCTCCTCACCACGTGCCCGAAGGACGTCAGGATGCATCTGACCGGCGGCGTGCAACGCTGGCAGGCGAGGCAGATCGCGGCGCACCACCGCCAGCACGGCGAGGTCAAGCCTTGGGTGCGGGCCATGCGGCTCTGCGTGGGCGACGGGCGCGCGGCGTTGGCGGAGGGCCCGTCGGCCACCAGCCTGCGTCACCACTGGGCAACGGTGGCCTGGACGCAACAGGCCCAGCACGACCTTGGGCTGGCGGCGGCGCCGAATTGCAGGGCCTGCGGACATCCGTCCGACTCGCCTGGGCACAGATTTTTCGGTTGCGAGGTACTCGTGCAGCCGCTCACAGAGGAGGAGCAGGACGAGCAGCTGCCGCCCGAGCCGATGCAGGCCACCCGCACCTTCATGTGCGACAAAGGCCTGCAGGAGGGCGGCAGCTTCGAGAGCGCCGACTTCCAAATGTGCTTGCCCTGCATGCCGCCATTCGTGCCGCCCGCCGCGGAGCAGGCCGAGGTGAAGTTCTGGGGCTGCTGGCCTAGCCCAGGGGCGGACACGGCTTCCTGCAGCAACGCCGTCTTCACCGATGGCTCAGGCTTCGCGTCCAGCATGCCCGAGCTGAGGCGCTGCGGATGGGCCTTCGTGCAGCTTTCCCTCCAGGGACTGCCTGTTCGGGCGGCGTTCGGGGCGCTGCCAGGGCCGCTCCAGACGGTCTGGCGCGCGGAGAGGCACGCGCTGCTGCAGGCATTGCGGCTCGCGGGGCCGCAGCTCGAGTTCGTCTTCACCGACCTTCTGTCGATGGAGAAGGAATGCAGCCACTGGGGGCAGGAGCTAGAGGAGGCGCGAGCGGCACATGCCACAGTGTGGAGACGGATTCGTGCCCAGCCAGCGCGGCCTGAAGTGAGATGGATCCCCGCGCACCAGGACATGGATGCGTACTTGGACCGAGGCCTCCACCCGCTGCTGTACTCTGGCAACATGTGGGCCGACTGGTTCGCTCGGCAAGGAGCCATGCAGCACACCGTGTCGAAGGTGTACGAGGAGTTCTACAACATCGAGCTGCAACACTACAAGAGCCTGGCAAAGTACGTCGGCTGGGCGGTGCAGAGGACGATGCACGCAGGCCGCTGGGATGCGCCCGAGCAGACAGCCCGCCCGCCAAAGGTGCCCAAGGTGCAGGCGGCGACTGTGATCAGCCACTCCCTGGTTCGCCTGAACGGGACGGCGGTGGTGCTGTGCCGCGCTTGCTGCAGGCAGACCAGCGGGCAGACGGGGCCACATGGACGCAGTTCGCGCGTTCAGCTTGCGAGGCCAGCCAGTACACCGCGCTGCGGGCCGAGGCCATCATCGCGCACGTCGGCGCGCAGCCCATTGTGGTCTCGGAGGCGGGCGAGTTCGCTATGCAGGCGATCGAGCGCGCGGCGTGCCCCGAAGATGCGGGGCCCAGGCCAGCCGAGCCTGCCCCCTGGGGCTCAGGGGACGTTACCATCGAGATGCAGGGGCACAGGCTGAGGCGCGCAGGGCCCACCATCTACTGCGAGGTATGTGTGGCGTGGGCGGCGACAGGCTCCTCACTGGCCCTGGCTGCGCCCTGCGCTGGCCCGCCCAGCGCCGAGGGCAAGAACCAGCGCACCTACCTGTCCAACCTCAGGGCGCGGCTCAAGAAGCTCAGCCAAGGGCTGCACCCCAAGACAGGAAAGGTGCTTACTTGGGGAGGTGCAGGCGAGGCTCCAGACGGCCCCAGAACATGGGCCACAGCGGCGGCCAGCGCGGCCGCGGGCGACATGGCCTCTGGGGGCGACGGCGCTGCAGAGCGGCCAAGCGGCAGGCACGCGCAGAAGGAACAGGGCGAGGCGACCAGGCCTGGCCAGGACCACGAGATGCGCGAGGTGCCTGCAGGGGCTGGAGGGTCCGACGCAGTCCAGACCAAGAAGCCTGCTTGGCGGGTGCGACGGCAGGAGCTCCAGGAACGGATGCAGCGAAGGCAGCAGCATCTGCTAGCCGAACGTGGTCCAGCAGCCGCCAGCGGCGCGCAGCGTGATGAGGGAGACATGGCCGACGGCAGCTTGCCCTCGGCCTATGGAGCGCACCAATGCCCCGACGGGGGCACCCCTGGACTGGTGACGCTCCAGCCGCCGCCAGCTGCCCCAGACGTGGGGGTGGTCGATGCCTGTCTGGCGGCGGGGCCGTCGCGGCTGCCTGCGCCCTTGAGGTGTGACCTGGCACACGAGGTGACGCTGACCACGGACCACCAGGAGGGCGCCGTGACCAGCCCTCAGGACATGAGCAGCCCGCCGCAGCCGTTCTCGACTACCGATATGGCCAGCACCAGGGGTGGCAGGGGACCTGCAAAGTGCGGTCGCGAATGCGGCCCCGCCCTGAGTGCTGGCAGGTCTGACAACTCGCAGCGGGCGCTGCCAGGCATGGCCAGTGACAAGGGTGGCAGGAGGCCTGCAAGCCGCGACCCTGAGTGCGGCCCCACCTTGGGCACTGGCGGCGACGGCAGCCAGGCCCACCGCGTGCGGCGACGATTTACGGCCTGGGCCAGGGGTGGCAGGGTACCTGCAATGTGCGTGCGTGAGTGCGGCCCCGCCCTGAGCCCAGGATGCGACGAGGACCGCGACGGCAAGGGCATGGCCAGCGCCAGGGGTGGCAGGGGACCTGCAAAGTGCAGTCCTGTGTGCGGCCCCGCCCTGGGCACTGGCAGCGGGTCTCTGGAAGCGGCGTCGCTTGAGGAGGACCAGCGGCAGCCGCAGCTGGCTTCTGGGGAGGCGTGTCCACGTGCAGCTACGGCTGGTGCCAGGGGTGGCAGGGGACCTGCAGTCTGCGGTCCTGAGTGCGGCCCCGCCCTGAGCACCAGCACCCACCCCGAGCGGCGACGGATTACGGCCTGGGCCAGGGGTTGCAGGGGACCTGCAATGTGCGTGCGTGAGTGCGGCCCCGCCCTGAGCCCAGGAAGCGACGCGGACCGCGACGGAATGTGCATGGCCAGCACCAGGGGTGGCAGGGGACCTGCAAGTGCCGACCGTGTGTGCGGCCCCGCCCTGAGTGCTGGCAGAGTTGCGGTGGCTCGGCCTGAGCCAGCGCAGCCGAGGCGCAGCGTCGCGCCCAGGCTTGAGCTGCAGGTCGCTGGATGGGCGCGGTACTGGACCCAGGCGCCCGAGGTCGGCGAGACGATGGAGTGCCACAGCGAGTGGCTCGACCACTGCGTCGGCTACGTCACGCAGATCCTGTCCCAGCCGCGCTTCGCCACCAGGCTGCGGGCGCGTGGGAGGACGGCCGAGGAGATGGCCGAGGAGATCTGCGAGCGGGCCGGGGGGACTGGCATGCCCGCGAGGCGGGCCTACTACAGGTGGCGCCACACGCTGACGCGGTCGCAGAGGATCGTGTCGGACTGCATGCGGCGCTACGACTACGTGCGCCTGCGGACGTGGCTGGCCGAGCTGCGGCGGGAAGGGCAGCCACCGCCCATTGGCCCGCTCAGAGCGCCTTCGGTGCCGTGGAATGCGGGACGCAGGAGGCGACGGAGAAGTGGTTGAGGGTCGGCCTCTCATGGCACGGGCAGCCGCTGCGTGGCGTTCTGGCCCCAGCGGCTCGCCGCAAGGCGCTGCGCGGCGGTCTGGCCCCAGCGCGCCGCCCTTCGCGTCCGTCGACGTGATCGGCATCGCTGGCCTCCCCTGAGGCTGCGGCCCCCTGGCCGCCTGTGCTGCGTCTAGTTGGCCTGGCCGACGCGACGTCCTGCCGCTGCTCTCCGCTGCTCTCCTCCTCCTCCTCGTCTCTTCATCCTCCTCCCTCCACTTCACTTCTTCTCCTCCTCATCCTCCTGCTGCATCCTCCTCCTTCCGTCCTCCTCCTCCTCCTCCTCCTCCTTCCGTCCTCCTCCTCCTCCTCCTTCTCCTCGCCATCTCCTCCCTCCATCTCCTCCTCCTCCTCCGCCTCCTCCTCCTCCTCCGCCTCCTTCCTCGTCGTTTCTCTTCCTCCTCCTCCTCATCCTCCTCCTCCTCTCCTCCTCCTCCGCCTCCTCCTCCTCCTCCTCCTCCTCCTCCTCCTCCTCCTCCTCCTCCCTCCTCTCCTCTTGCTCCTCTCTCTCCTCTTGCTCCTCCTCCCTCGTGCTCCTACCTGCTCCTCTTGCGTCTCTCGCCAGCTTCTTCTCTTGCTCCTCCTCCTCTTCCTCTCGTCGTCATCCTCCGCCTCCTCCGATCCTCCTCCCTCCGTCCCTCCCTCCCACTCCCTCCCTCCCTCCCTCCTCCCTCCCTCCACCTCCCGCTTCGGGTTCCATTCCTCCGCCTCCTCCTCCTCCACCTGCTCCTCCTAACTCGTCCCTCCTCCTCATCCCACTCCCTTTCTTCTCGCTCGCTCATCCTCCTCTTCCTATCCTCCTCCTCCTCCTCCTCCTCCGCCATTTCGCACTCGAGTCCTCCTCCTCCTCCGTCCTTCTCCTCTCCTCCTCTCATCCTCCTTCTCCTCTTAAAAACGATGTGTTGGGACCTCCTCTTCTCCTCCTCCTCCCCGCTCCCCTCCTCTGCTCTCTTCCTTTTCCTGTCCATCTCCTCCCTCCTCCTTCTACGCTTCCATCCTCTTCCTTCTCCCTTCTCCTTCTCCTCCTCAACCTCCTTCTCCTCCCCTGCCCTCCTCCTCCTTCTCCTCATCCTTCCTCTTCCCTCCTCCTCCTCCTACTCCTCCTCCTCTTCCGCCTCCTCTCTCTCCTCCTCCTCCTTCTCCTCCTCCTCTCCTTCTGCTCCTCCTTCTTCTCCTCTTTCTCCTCCTCCTCCTCCTCCCCTCCTCCTCCTCCCTCCTCCTCCCTCCTCCTCCTCCGCCTCCTCCTCCTCCCCTCGCTCTCCTCCTCCTCCTTCCTCCTCCCTCCTACTCCTCCTCCTCCCCTCCGTTTCCTTTCCTTCTCCTTCTCTCCTCTTCTCCTCCTTCTCCTCCTCCTCCTCCTCCTCCTCCTCCCTCCTCCTCCCCCCTCTCCTCTTCTCATCCTCATCCTCAATCTCATCTCATCTCATCCTCATCCTCATCCTCATCCTCATCCTCCTCCCCCCCCCCGCCCTTCTCCTGCGCGTCGCCCTCCTTTGAGATCCGACGCTGCGAACAAAACAAGCACCAGTGGCTTGGCATCTCTCGGGCGTCTACTTTTTTTGTCCGGTGTGGGGACCCTCGAGGAGCATCCTGGAGCAGCCTGCGAAACATAAGGCGCCCGAAGGTGAAGCACGCACGGGGAATGGACGCCTGCGTGATGGCAAGTATAGGAGAGCATCACCACCGGAGACCCGGACCCAATCCGTCTGTGCCGCTCTCCGAGCCGGATCGATCTGCGCGGGTCCGAGGGCCCGAGCTCCAGCGAGGCCGCCCGGCGCGGACAGACGGCAGCGTCCGGGCCTCCGGGGCCCCCTCCTCTCTGGTCGACCCAAAAGGGGGTCCAGCTGAAAGGGGGTGGTGCAATAGATTTGGGGCAATTGTGTTGCAAATGTATTGCGCCAAATCTATTGCATCACCCCCTTGTCGCTGGACCCCCTCTTGGGTCAACCCGATCCTCCCCCCTCCTCCGGAGCGGGCGTGGGGTCCGAGGTGGCCCCGCACTGGGTCATCGGCCAGCAGGGAGGGCGGGCGGGTTCGAGGCGCCGGGCGCTCGGGGAGAGTGCGTGTTGCCCGCTGCGGCCTCCGAGGGGGGCCGCGAGGAATAGATCGTGGGGCGAAGCGCTCCACCAGATGGGAGTGCCTGGGGGGGCGCCTGGGAGCGCCTGGGGGCGCCTGGGAGCGCCTGGGAGCGCCTGGGAGCGCCTGGGAGCGCCTGGCAGCGCCCGGGAGCGGATCCCGGGAACCGATCTTGAGCGGATTTGGCTGCATCCCCACCCTCCCGACCGATTCTCCTGGGCTCCCAGCTAGTTCAGGCCCCCCTCCTGTCATCCCTCGTGGAGGTCCTCCTTGCTTCTTCTCCCTTGGGGACGTTCTCCCTCTCCTCCCTCCTACCCCCTCTCCTCCCTTGTGGACGTCCTCCTTTCCCTCTCTTGTGGACGTCCTCTCTACCCCCGCCTCCAATCCCCGTCCTCTTTTCCCTCCCTGCTCCCTCCACCTCGGCACGGGAAGGCTGGGGCCGAGACGAGATGGCTGGCTCTTTTGATGACGGGCAGCTGGAGGCCAGGCGCTTTTTGCTTCTCCAGATCGTCTTTGCTCGTCATTCGGGCAATATGCATATCCAGACCAGTGCGTATCTGACTTTCTCGGAAGAGGCGCCGCAAGGCCGGAGCGCACTCGGTATGGATAAGAATCGAGCCTCTGGGGGCCAGCATTCTTATCCGTATCCACTGCGCCTCGGGCTTCTGGGCAAGGGAGTCCGAGAATCCAAGCTGCAGCGGGCATGGACACAAGTCTTGCCCGCACCTCACCCTCCTTTTGCTGCTTAGGCACCAGAGTCTGTTGCCATGTCGTCCGAGGGCGGCCGAGCTGCCGTGGCCGACGTTCGGCGACGACCCCTCCTCCCCTTTTCTCTATCCTCCTCCGCCTATCTTTAAGTCGGGCCTGTCCCCCTACAGGGGAAATATCAAAAAAAAAAATCCCCCCCCCAAAAAAACAGGGGACCATTTTTTGAGCAGGTTTGGGCATCTTTTGGGCATGTTTAGGGTATTGCTTATTTTTCGTCGGAAATCCGGCTGTAGGGGGACAGGCCCGACTTAAGCCTACCTCCCCCTCCTCCCCGACCTGCCGCAGAGGGCCTCTGCAGAAGCGAGCGCATGGGCGGCCGGGAGGGCCAGCGCCCGACCACGGGGAGGCCCCTGGGCCGCGGCGGGCCCCTCCTGCACAGCAGAGTCGCAGGACCCGAG